TTATTTTTCAACCGGCCGAAGAAAAAATAGGTGGCGCCGTCGCTATGATCAAAGATAAGCTGTTTGATCGATTTCCGATGGATGCTGTCTATGCATTACATAACGGTCCACGTTTACCCGTTGGACAATTCGCCATTCGATCGGGTCCAATGATGGCAGCAGACGACACTTGGGTTGTTACATTTCGAGGTACCGGTGGACATGGCGCTGTACCACACTTAGCTGCCGACGTGACCGTGTTGCTAGCAGAATTTATTCTATCACTACAGACAATAGTTAGTCGAAACATTGCACCGACAGATGCAGCTGTGATAAAGTGTCGGCGCTATTCAAAGTGGATCTTTCGGATCATTGAATGTTCTACCATCAGAAGTTCGTGTTGGTGGAACTGCCCGTAGTTTTACGAAAGACGTGCGAGATACAATTGAACGTCGCATGAAAGAGTTGGCACATGGTCTTGCCACTAGCTTTGGGGGCACAGCTGAGGTGATATTCAATCGAGAAGGAATTCCGGTTGTCAATGATGTTCGATTCACTGAACGAGCAATTAGAGCAGCTGAAAGTCTCGTAAGAGCCAAAAACGTCTATGGAAATATGCCACAAATAATGGCTGCAGAAGATTTTGCTGAAATGCTCGAACGAAAACCAGGTGCTCTTATGTTTATAGGAAATGGAAATCAATCTGGTGAACTTCATTCTCCAACGTACAATTTCAACGATGATGCTCTTATTTTTGGTGTGGGATTTTGGGTCAGTCTAGTACAACAAGAACTCCATCATGACCTTCGTGTATCTGCACTGTAAATTTTTAGAAAATCATCAAGTGTTATTAGATTAAAAAGCTGTAGAATGAGAAAACATTGGTGCAGACCTACAAAAGGTTTAATTTGATCGTATTTGTTGGTATAGTAGACTGCACTTGCATTGAATGCATTCTGTTCTGAGGTAACCCAAGAAAAAGATTACACTAAGAAACTTCATTGTTTCTCCTTGTATTTGACTAGCAAAGTAATTAAATGAAACCGAAAGGAAAAAAAACAAGACATTAATTTGCTTGGTCGTGCTCTCCATCAATTTTCGCTCCTTTTCTCTTCTGTCAATAAACACTGCATAGAAAGAAAAATACTTTTTTTTATTATAACATGGTTATCAGCAAATTCAACATGTGCTTTTGAATATCGCCTCGAGGCATTCGTCATGTGATATAGAAAGCATTGCAAAAGAGCAGACAACGATGTTTTTTTTGTACTGACCAATTTTAAGTGGAGTACCTTGCCAAAAGACAAGAATTAAAATGATAAACAGTAAGTTACCAAAGATTCAGTCTATCGTTGTAGTTTGGTCTTGACTTAGATAGAAGCATCAAAATGTAACGCCAATGAACATAGACTAATGCATCCTTTCTTGATTGAGACATATCTGTCAACAATTCGCTGCCAATGATGGATTGAGATGCGATATTTCGAGAAACTCTATTTATTTCGTTGTGATCCTACCCCTTCTTTCTTGGAATAGTATTAATCGAACATTAGGAGTTGACTATGTTTCTATATTTACAAGGCAATACATTATGCTTCTATCATATTGAACAGAAAATTGAATGGCATAAACAAGAAAGAAACAATGTTTGACTCAAAGGTTTCCATTTAATACAAGTTGTCCATATGTAATTGATTTACATTCAAGAGTGTTTTCATTAGTTTGGAAAAGAAATGCGGATGTGAGCGTTTGTCCTTTTTATGCAGCAACACCCATTCACATACATATTTTTCTGTCAAAATTGATTGATTATGGTTTTTTCAACTCGTTCAGAATGGGAATCTTTGAATTAAATACTACTTTATTCGTATTCATGTCAAAAGTTGTATTGTTTTCTTCTTATTCAACGTTCAGTATATTCAATTCATCGTTGAACTGCTTTTTAACTAAAAATTTCTTCGAGTTCTTTCGATGTCTATTCGATTTCAATCTTAAACGAAATAATTATTTTTCATCGAGTCAGACCGACTGAACAAAATAATCGAACAAAAAGTTAACTTTTACATTCAATCATTATTCATTCTGTTTCACTAACAGAACTGATGTTGTTGGACTCATTAAACAATATTTTGAATCAGAAATTAAAAACAATGTTTCAAAATTATCTCTGAATCCTTCCAATACATATATTAAGTCGTTCATAATTGTCAATTAGACTAGATTGAATATGATTTGAGCTGAATTTGATCGTAGCCATATGTCCTTGGTACGATCAAAGTAACCTTGCCCATTCTCCAAAATATCTCCTTCTTTCATTTATTTTTTTCTGTAAAAAGATTTTAAGTAGGATTGTGGTGCTGTCTCAATGTATGATAGATTGTCAGGCAACATTGAAAAGTTTTGAAAATAACTCAGTGTTGTTCAATCAGAATATTGCTCAAGTTGCCACCGAATGAGATCTAGCCTTGCTTTTTTTCTGTTACGCTTGTCTCGTCATTCTTTGACAGCTTCTTATTCTGACTAAACTGATATCAATAAGACGAATTTGATTTGGATCTTTTGACAAAGTAAACGAATACTCTTTGTATTGTATGAGTCATCACCGTAGAGATCAAACAATGGTTGCTTGCTGTGGGTATTTTTTCTTCTTCACACTTTTCACGGAAAAGACAACGTGTATGCGCACATGATACTTGAGTAGTGACATTCGTTCGCACAGAACAGCCCGATAAGTAAATGCAGACTAAAGCATTTTGTTGAATGTCAGGAGTGGGTTTTTTCTCGTTCGTAAAAACAACAAAGTGAATGTTAAGATTGAGTGTAGATGATTTGTTGCGATATTGTTGATAGTTTCATCAACAAAAACAATATTCGAGACTTCGTTGTAATGTTAGCAATAAAATTGTCAATGCATACTACGAAATGTTTCTTGCACTCTTTAATAACATTCGATCGTTGTTCTGCATATTTTGCCAAGTATGTTTTCATTTTTCTTAAATTGAAGGGATGATCTGCTCTTGTCGATTTGACACAAAGTTAAACTTTACTCTAAAGCAGTACTCGTAATTGAATTAAAGAAGGATATGTCATTTTCGTGTTCAGAAGAGTAAGAAATCGAGAAGAAAGCTGTACAAAATGTACGCATGTGGGTGTCTTCTTTTGACCTCACATCCACACTTTACTACATAATTATTAACTAAGAATTGACTCAGTTTACCGTGAATGTACGAAAAAAAGGTTAATTTGAATGAAAAACGCCCTTTTTTCAGTTGGTCATACAACCTTAACAAATGTAGTTCAGTAAAAAACATGTGAGCACAAACAATTGAGCCTTTCACGAGTTATCCACGAAGTCATTTTCAAAAACTTATCATACAAAATGAGTCAAACTGAAATTTTCAGGAAATAATCGATTTGTTCTACTAAAAAGAAGAGTTATGCAGAATGATCTTTTAAAATCATTTTGTTCATATTCCAATTGTCTTTCTTTTTCGTACTTTTCCTTTCGTTCGACTTTTAAACGAACAAAGCAAATCCAAGCATAAGGCCGTTCTACAACAATAAGGAAAGAGAAATACAAAATATATACCATTCGATAGAGCGTTTCAGTTCAAACATAACGGACTATCCATTATATTTTTTTTTGCAACTTTTCGTGCTTAAAGAATTATCCTTTTCTTAGCCCATATCCACGAAACAAACGATGTTTTCAGTGTCGAACTTACAAGTTCTCGGTAACATATAAAGAAATTGTTCGAATTGACCTACTAGAACAAAATTAATTACATAAACACAGCTAAAATCCTAATCATACTAAGATGTTGCAATTCTCTCACGTATACCATGAATAACTTTTTGATGTTCAGGCACGATTCATCAAATGGTAATCAATGACATCCACACCCACATCCTTTCCCCTCTTGAAACTGTTGTTTTTTTATCCAGATTTCAAACTTTTTAGTGCCTCCTATCCTGAGATAAGCACACAAGAACAACGTTTGATTTTTTTATATAGAAGACAGTTGAAATGATAACACAGAATTTTCTCAAGATTTGCAGAGAGAAAAATCTTGTCATCGTCAAATTAAGAGAGAGGGAGAGCGCTTGAATATTATGTCCCCTGTTGATAGAGTAGAGTGTGTGTTCTGCCAATGTCCTATTGAACTTTTGATCATGAACTGGTACTTCATACACAATATATTACATAGTCTTGTTTACGCCTACCACGTGATGTTGAGAATCGTTTCGATGTCTGAGATGTGTTTTTACATTCTTTGCACACCGAAAAGTCGTCTTTGCCACGCAATTCTCAGCTGTGCGCTGATGAATACTTGCACAATCTGTTGAACAAAGGTGTCTTACATCTAGATAAATTGTCAATCGGAACTGCTCGTTGAACAGTTCGTTAAAAACATGTCATCATTCGTGCGTCTTATTATACAAAATGCATCTGTTCTCACATTCGACGAGAGCAACAGTTACTACACGAATGCCACGGTAGTAATCGAGAATGGACGCTTCAAGCAGATCATTCATGATGGAAAGAACTTTGAATCAAAACCAGATGATGAAATAATCGATGGGACTGGAAAACTGCTCATGCCCGCACTCGTCGACCTGCACTTCCACACTGCCATTGCCAAGGTACGTACTGTACTGTTTCTCTTCCTCATGTGATCAAGGATCTAAGAAATTATTAGGGCTGGAATGATCACCTTCCTCTCTGGGAATATCTCGATGAATGCTGGTACCCATCGATTAGGGCACTCGACAGGAAAGCCGCTTATTGGGCAGCTATGGCTTCTTACATGGAGGCGATCAAGAATGGAACAGGTACAGTGAATGACATGTACAGACAATTGGATGGTCTTGCCGATGCAGCTGATGAGATTGGAATTCGGGCCACTCTCTCGAATGACGTGGCTCTCAAACAGTTCAATTTGGATACTCTAGAAGACAATGTAGCTGCCTTTCGAAATCACAATGGAAGGGCGAACGGGAGAATTCAAGTGTGGTTCGGCATCGAATGGCTTCCACTCGCTGATTTAGAATTACTGAAAAGAACAAGAGAATTGGCTAACGAATTAGGTTAGTTGTTTTGTTTTCTTATTTGACTAACAAGAGACGAAGAAAAATATCCAATTACGAAAGTAAATTGGCAAGAAAATTATGAATGAAGCGAATCTGAAAGACTGGTATTCCTTCTTGGAAAAAAGTTCGAAATAAATTTTGAATCAACAAGGGGTAATATGGTCAACGTAGATTTGTTGAGCGAGTGAGACGAGACTGGAAAAATTAATGTATCGGGCGGACCATAATAATTACGACACTTTTTCTTCTCATATATCTCAGTGCAGAGAAAATATAGAATCTTGAATTATTTTAAGCGATGCGTTGTTGAGTTCTCTGCAAGCTCCAAAAGAATGAAAAAAATTCTTTAGACTTCTTATGATGAGTTTTCGATGGCATTTTTTTCTAAACGTTCTTGGACACAATTCGTTTGACCATTAGATTGATGAGGCATTTTGTTCACCCATTTCTACTTCTCGTTGATTTTCGCATCCTAAAAGAGAAAAGTCAAAAGAATTTCTTTCTTTGAACTTGATAGAGAATTCAACAATGCATCTTCTAAAAAAATTCAAGATTCTATCTTTTTTTTTCTTCAACTGAAGCATATGCAAGAAAACATATTGCAATCATTTTGGCTCACCCGTTATCTAAAAAAAGCCGCTTTCCTCTTAGTAAGATATCACAATGTCATATGTGGAAGCTTCTAATAGTGAGTTTTAACATTGAACACCATCAATAGATAGATTTGAGAAAAT